TCGTTGATTTGTTGATCGAATTGGTAACTCACTTGATTGATTTATTTAATTTCCGACTAATTAAAAATTTACGTCCGTTCCATTGAGTGAGGTGCTTGAGAACGGCCTAAAACAACTAATCAAACCAAATTTGGCTCATACTAAAAAAAAATTTCTAACCATTCTTATTTACTACATAGATTTTTCGGCCATTGTCAAAGCAAGTCACAAACCAACTTGCAACATACGTATCCACACCATGTCTACCTGTTCAAACAACCGCCAGCTAACGCTAAGGTCAATTTCTATTTGCTAAGTTAATGTTATACGTAACCGGTTTAACTCGGCTTTCGCGTTTGCAGATATATCGTTGAAATGTCATTATGTCGTTCTAGTTGAACCTCTTACGAGCCTTTTCGCGGTAGACATTGCCGAAAAAAATATCATTTATTTCTATCGGCGTTCTCTCCATTTGGCATCTCAAGAAGCTTATCTGGAAGCAGATCCAATATGATCTTGCCGGTATTAGCCCTGCCACACTGACACTATGGAAGGTCGAAGTCAGCGAAGGAAACAGAAAGTGGGAAATACTTGAAAAGTCTCACACCGAAATTGATATCAAACAAGAGTTTGGAGGTGAGAAGTTGTTCTCAACTACAAAGTTTAAAGAAACTTTTCCAGGAAAACTTCCAGACAATGTCGTTCATGTTATCGTGCAATTGCCCATTAAGTGTTTCCCAATATTTTACTTCTTGAATAAGGAAATTTTTAACTCATTTTAGTCGAAAAAATGCATATATCGATCAGGAAAAAGAAGCCGAGATGATTCAGACGAGAAAGGTGAAGGCCAAGAAAGTAAAAAAGTAAAACTAATAGGTGTGTATAGTTTTTAAATTTTTATTTTTAAAACCGAACATCAATCTTCTTACCGAGCATTATTTTTCTTAGAAACTGCTAGTTAAATTATGGAGGGTATAATGAAACTTCCCGATATTTGTAATGTTTATTCAAGCCCGAAAAATTTCCTTTCATTGCCATTCCCATATCCCGGATCAAATATACCAGTAGATAGGTTTGCCATTAATGAAGATGGTATGGGAAGAAAAGAATTTAACAATGTTTAAAACGAAATTTACACATTTAAATCACGCACCGGTTATATGGAAATGGTTATTTATGGCACAGTTGGGTATATAGTTGTTAGACGAAACCTCGAAGTTTCGCGCTGACGAATCTTAAATGACGAAACTGTAAAGAATGACAAAACTAATAAAAGACGAATGTTTAAATAAAATTTGTATTGAAGTTTAATTTAATGTTTTTTTGAATTCTTGCATTTTGATTGACTAAAAATTAAATTTTAAAAAATATTTTTTAAAATTTTGATTTTGCAATATGATATTAAATGGTCTTAAGAATTTTTGAAACATATATATGTATAATATATTTATTAATACAAAAAAACAAGACATACGGTAGCTACCATAGTAAATATGAATATTCTGGTAAATAGAATACTACCTACTTGTTAGAATTAAATAAATTTGGGTTGTGTAATACAGTACCTGTTGAGATTAGCAAAAAAACTATAGTTTTTATAATAATGGTGATTTTAGAGGTAGTACATAATCTGAGTAGTTGGAAGGAACTTTCATTTATGGGTTAGGGTTTGAAAAATTCCCTCTTTTAAACCCGCTACTCTATTTAATAATGATTTCATTTTTTTTTTAGTTTTGTCATAAAAAAAGATTTACAAAATAAAGCTTTTATTGGTTTATCGAAATAGAAAATTTTTCTCTATAAACTAATCGATTAAGATAGTTATCGATCAATATCTTTGTTAACATTCCATTACTACCCGAACATAATCGGAATTAATTTTAAAAGTTTTATTTCGTATTCTTCTAGAATTAATTTCCACTGTTATGTCTGTATTACTCTTACTTGTAATCCATATAATATTATCTCTAATCCGTCCTCAAGACTAGGGATGGCAACGGTCGGCTATTTTCGGCTAGCCGTTGGCTGTATCTCGTGATCCAGAGATCCAAGTGAGATGATTTTAGCACCATTCGATTCGTCTCAATGAGACAAAACGAATGGGGCCAAAATCATCCAATTTGGATCACTGATCACGAAATACAGCCAGAAAATAGTCGACCATTTCCATCCCTACTCAAGGCCCGATAAGGTGAACTTAAATTTGGTATAATTTATTATTTGTTTTCGAAATCAGTAATCCATCGATGCCTCTTGGTTCCAACAGCGTGGTAAGTAAAATATACATTTCCCTTCATTCGAAAAAAGTCTGATTTCTTTTTCAACACAAAAATTCTATATCGTTAGGTTTAAAAGTTACACGATTCGCCATGATTCCATTCTTAAAAATACTATTAATACACGTTTTTTCCACAAAAAATCCTTTAACCGATGGGTTGTTTTTGAATTTCTCTATGCAACTGATCCGCTTTATATCTGTGAATACTTCCGTTCGCTTCTTTTCATAGAGATAATTAGCCATGCAATCCCGTGACACCCCACAAACATATTTCATTTTTAATGTAAAAAAACGATGATCAAAATCACTAACTCCATAACCACTTGGAGGATATCCTTTTGTCAGAAATGATGTCATCAATTTGACGTGACTGTGTAAATAGAAAAGTCGTTTTTTTCATGCAGCTTACCAATCACGAAGTAAACAAAAATACATACAATTCCTGCCTTCCTTCTGGTATATTGTCTGAAAAGTTCGTCATCGGCTCCTTTATTTTTGGTATTAATTGTTGATCTAAGTAGCCCAGCGCCTCTTCAAAATTTTTGCGACCAAATTCTAGCAAACCGTTTAAGAAAAGCGGAATTTTGCCGGTTATGTCTTCAATTTGACCTTTTTGCCAATTATTCATTGTTGGCAAATCAGAATTATGCTTTTTCCACATTAATACGTAGAAAATTCACAACGTAATCATACCTCATCGAATCTTCCATAAAGCGTAATTTTCTTTTCAATAGTCTGTTTTTGCTTAAGATGCAATACTGCATGGTTGTTTGCCGAAAAAATCTTAATATAAAAATGGTTCCAGCACAATTTAATGATTTTTTTCTAAGTTAATTACAGTATTATTACAATCGTCCAGAGCGTTCATTTGATCTACGATAAAATATAACGTTTCGTCTAATGATCTGCTAAATTTAATAATTTGATCAAAATCTTCACAGGCATTAGTTTCGCTTGTTTTCGCATCATCATCCACGTAGGTGAGAAATAAAGCTGATTTAATGTATTCCATTGGATCTACCGCTAATTTGCGACAATCTGGAAGATATACAACACGCCTTCTATTCCGAAGAAGAAAACAAGCAATTGCTGTGAGAATATAAGACTTTCCATACCCAACTATAGTTGTTAGACGAAACCTTTTTCGCTTGATGACGAAAGACGAAAGTCGGAACCCAAATTTTTCTGACGAAAGACGAAACCCTAGCTAGTGCACCCTCTAAAAAAAAAAAAAAGGAAAATTGTTATTTTCATTGAATTAATGTTCATAATTATTCAGAAATTAGTATCTGAAATTACATGTATGTCAGCAAAAATAAACTAGTTCATTTTTTTCTGAACAACGCTAGGGTTGCTATAGACCGGTTGAAATAACCTTGTCAAAAAGCCATAGTATAGTACTCATGGGATAACACAAGTAATGAATTAAAACATACAGGCATTAAATAAATTTGTAAGATCACAAAGTAAGCATCAAGCGATTTCTCACTAGAACTGATGTGTAGTGTACTAGTATAATGCAATATAGAATACTTATTTCTAACTCCCTTTAGACAATTTAATCGCCTATTATACAATAAAATTTTTTGTAATTTTTATAAATTTCTGTTTTTTTTTGTTTATTTTTTTATACACATAATCTTCGATGATTTTCAACATTTATTTGTATATTCATTTTTTATTAGTTTTGTTACCCTTTACAGTTTCGTCAGTTACGTCATTTCGTCATTTAAGGTTTTAAATGACGATAGATGAAATTAGATTTCGCGTTTTGTCAGCGCGAAACCTCGAGGTTTTGTCTAACAACCGTAATTAAAAAGAAACATTTTATTAATTAAAATTGTAATCTGCAAATTAATACCGTATTTTCGCGAAATAACAGGCATGGGCGTTATTTCGAAAATTGCGCACCTAAAAATTGCATCATGGTTCAAAATAACGCCCATTGCGCGTACTCTAAATAACGTGCATATACTCAAAATAACGCGCAGGTGGGTATTGTTTCGCAAAAATACGGTATGCTAGTTTCGAAACTTTTGATAAAGTATTAAATGTATTCCGCATATAATTTTAAAATCCAAATTTTAAACACTGGGAATTACTCCACATGTGTTTGCAATAATACGGTAGGTATTATTACATGCCAGACGTATTCTGGGTTGTAATTTTTTGAATACATCTGCATGGTTACGCTAAACCCTAACCTTATGTGATGTCGAGTGAATGGCTATCAGAAAACGAGCAGTCATATATATCAATATACAGTATAGTCAATTCTGTGAAATGAATGTCTTTATAATAAAGCTGTAAAGGTTTAATTTTATATAAGTTCTGTATAACAAGGGTTAATTCTTGGGAACCCTTTTTTCCAAGTATCTGGTTTGTTATAAAGAAAGTTTACGTAATTCAGAAGATTTAAATTCAAATTATCACTATTTAGAAACCATAAAGTAAATTTCAATTTTTTGCTTTATTATAATCTATCGAAATTGGTTTCATCATAACATCTTATTTTTTTTAAAAAAAAAAAAGCTTCGTGAAATATTCACTTGCGTACTGTGGAATATATATGTACTAGAGATGCTGAGAAAACTGTGTGATGCTAAACAGTCCAAGGAAATAACTAGTAATTTTTTTAAGTCACATGCAATAAGTATAAGCTATAGTGTGCGATGATTTAGCATCACAT